GTAGTAAGAAACAGGCTAATTACAGCTGTGAGGACATTGAAAGCTGCTCCAGCCTGCACAATATAAATGTATAGGAGGTGTAAATGCTATGTTCGCTTAAAGAAACAAAGTGGAAAACAAGATGTATCTTAAAAAAAGATTGACTAACATTGCCTATATTTGCTGTTCAACCTGCTCTTCTCTGTTAGCCACATGATGACTCAACACTGGCGAAAATTCTGAGATTCAGAGACAGAAAAGTCTGTTATAAACTACTTTATTTAATGAGAGAACACAGTAGATGGGAATGTCACACATCATACGGGCAGATTAAACCCTTACAATTACAAGCTTATTACATACTAAGGCTTATTATACAGTAACTAAAGGGACTTCACTGCAAACTGGTTGAGCTATTCTTAGGTTATAGAGGCTTATTATATACCAAGTAATTACAGAGATTCCAATGCTAACTGGTTAAGCTTTCCATAGATTATCAAACTGTGTTTAATAAAGTCTGGCTTTTTAAGAGATTAACAGTAAAATTAGCTTTTTCTCAATGATGGTAAAAATTTGTAAAATTAGTTGTTTAACATCTTACAAATACGGTCTTTTACTGTAATTCGCAGTTTCACAGGTTAAACCAGTTATTCTGACATACAGTATTTTACCAAAATAATAATATCAGTAACAACCATTAAAATGAATGTAAATGTTTGTGCAATAAAGGTGATTTGCTTTGTGCATTTACATTTTTTGCAGTGTTCAGTGATAGAAAACACTGCAGCTGATTCTACATGCTTACATGTTTCTCTCTGGCCAACATGAACATGTTTGCACAACAACTCATCTCGAGGCAGATTTAAATAATCTTAACTGGCCTTCTCCAAATTCTCAGAATAGACACTTGGCTCAGTAAGGTTAAAATACATTATTGTCCAAGTTAAGATTGTATTAGATTTAGATGTATTTGCTGCAAGTAGAAGGTAATGTTTAATAAAATTTGTTTGCACTTGCAAAAGTGGTATGTATTGTAACCTTATAAGAATACAATAAACTCCTTCTTATAACATTATAAGACATTATAAGTCTTTCTAAGAACAGGACTACATCCTTCTGAGATCGGAATAACTACTAAACAACAGAATGACTACTACTTTTATATCTATCAGCTTAACTAACAAACCAAACAACTCAATACTCTATTTTCTGAATCAACATGTGACAGATGAGCACAATGGTCAGTTGGTTCAGTGGTGACAGAATTACATGGTGGATATCATTCACACAGGTTAGATCAAACTAGTTCCCACTAGCTTCACACTATTAAAACAAAACCAATCCAGATAAGGGTTTATAATTCCAACCTTACGTTCTAATGATGGTAACAGTGCATTAGCAAATCTCAAAACAGTGACAGGAGTGATTTGAACATGCAAGAAAAGGTACTGAGATACAGGCAGCCATGAAAGAACAGGCTTAGAATAAAAATTCAGTCTCACGGCATTATAAACAATAACATTTAGCTAGCATGACACAGAAGCGCAACTAATGCTACATAATAAAGGCACTGAAGCAGAGAAAGCAGCTGGATTACAGTCGATACTTTATTAAGATAGTTTCTCAGATTGTGAAAATGGAGTGAGTTAAGGAGGTTAAACACAGGGTGATTTCTGCTGTGGGGCCTCCCATCGATACCTACGTGTTCAAAGTCAGAGGTTTAGCATGGAGGTTTACTGCAGTTTACATCACTTACAAACTACAGACTAATCATACATACATCATCTAAACCGCTTATCCTTCTGGGTCGCGGTGGGGTGCTGGAGCCTATCCCAGCTGTCATTGGGCGGGAGGCTACAGACTAATCAACCATTTCAATTAGTTTTGCCCTTTATTTTAAGCATCGTAATTGTTGCATACAGCACTTCTGTCTTTCAGACCAAAGAAAGGTTTGGTATTTAAAGCTGCTGAAGTGGTGCAGATAATAATGAAACTGAAACACAACCGAGAGACGCAGGAATTGACTTGGACTCGCAACTCGAAGACTTTAGACTCAAACTTGTGATTTGGAAACTCGAATCTCAACTCAGACTCGCATGCCAAAGACTCGAGACTCGACCCAGAACTTGAATCTAAAAACCTGATTCGGACTTACACCCCAGAGACTCGAGACTCAAATCGCACCCAAAAGACTCAACTCTCCACTTAGATTTGCACCATAAAGACTTGAGACTCGACTTGGACTTGCACCCCATACACGCGAAAACTTGGTTCAGACTTGCACCCCAGAGACTTAAGACTCAACTCGAATTCGCACCTTGAGACTTGACTTAGACTTCCATCCCAGAAATTTGAGACTCAAGTCGAACTGGCACCCTGGAGACTTGAGACCCGACTCGAGTCTTCAGGGTGCCAGTATGACTCAGACTCGAGACTCGACTTGGACTCGTACCCCAGCAACTCAAGACTTGACTTGGATTCACACTATGTAGACTCAAGACTTGACTCGAATTTGCATGCTCAAGAATTGAGACTTGACTTGGACTTGCATCCCAGAGACTTGCACTCTGGAGACCTGAGACCTGACTCAGACTTGTCCGGAGACTTAAGACTCGACTCGGACTTGAACCCCAGACACGATTCGACCTGGATTCGCACTCCAGAAACTTGAGATTCAACACAGAAACAGTAAGTTAAAGAGTTAAATACTGACAGCCAGCAGAAGCATTTCTGAAAGATAATTCTACTGTGATGGAAGAGAACTCCAGGTAGGCATACCGATCTTCAGTTATTTGATCCATCAGTGTTTCTGAGTCGAGGCCCTGATCCACAGTTTAGTGTCCTTTCCTGTTCTAATTTGATCAAATATGGAATCTGAATCATAATTGAATCTACAGTTAATTCAGTTAAGAAATTAGTGAATCGTTTAATTAGTTTATGAGCTGAATCAGGTGTGCTCAAGCGGAGAAAACTCTGCAGATCAATGGGTCCCCAGAAATGAGATTGGGAACCAATGCAGCATGGCATTTTTCATATTACTGCACTACAGACTTTTAGATCCTCTCTCGTCGGATTCCACAAGGCAGAGAGAGTCTTTTACAAAAAAGAAGTAGCAATTTAAGAATACTTAAATCAAGATCTCATTACATGAAGGAAATGAAGTGCAATCTAGGCAGGTATGACTGAAGAAAATTAAGTAATGCAATGATATTCACATAAATCAGCAGCATATGAGAGCTCAAAAGGTCTAAAAATAACCAAAAGCAGATTGAAACACTATTTGGAAAAAATAGCTACAAGATACAAAGGGCTCATATCACAGAAAATTGCATTGCATTGCTTTTAAATGAGACTTTGATGTACTGTGTAAACGGTCCAAATGGCCACTTCATTGAGTCCACCTCCTTGTATCTACACTCTTTGTCCATTTTATCAGCTCCACTTAATATATAGGTGCACTTTGTAGTTCTACAATTACAGACTGTAGTCCATCTGTTTCTCTGATACTTTGTTACCCTGTTCTTCAGTGGTCAGGATCGCCCCAGGACCCCCACAGAGCAGGTACTATTTGGGTGGTAGAGTGTGTTGTGCTGGTACGGGTGGATTAGCAGTGCTGCTGAAGTTCTTAAACACCTCAGTGTCACTGCTGGACTGAGAATAGTCCACCAACCAAAAATATCCAGCCAACAGCGTCCTGTGGGCAGCGTCCTGTGACCACTGATGAAGGACTAGAGGATGACCAACACAAACTGTGCAGCAGCAGATGAGCTATCGTCTCTGACTTTACATCTACAAGGTGGACTGACAAGGTAGTAGTGTCCAATAGAGTGGACAGTGAGTGGACACAGTGTTTAAAAAATCCAGCAGCACTGCTGTGTCTGATCCACTCGTACCAGCACAACACACACTAACACCACCACCACCACGTCAGTGTTACTGCAGTGCTGAGAATGATCCACCACCCAAATAGTACCTGCTCTGTGAGGGTCCATGGGGGTCCTGACCACTGAAGAACAGGGTAAAAGGGGGCTAACAAAGTATCAGAGAAACAGATGGACTACAGTCTGTAACTGTAGAACTACAAAGTGCTCTTATATGGTAGGGGGGGCTGATACTATGATGTTACTATGATGAGCTAAGCTGCAAAAACAGATGGTTGTGATGCCACTATAAACATGCTGAAATATTACTGCTCATTTAGACTAAAGAGATAAAGAGTGTTGTTACTGCAGACGGTCTGTAACAGTGTTATTGTAGTGGGGAAAATGATTAAACATTGTGCTGTTCCTGTCTGTCAGGAAGCAAATGTATAATTTCAGCCTTTCAAAGGATCAAGACACCCGAAAGGAGTAACAAGTTTATTTTTCCTGACATTTTTGACAATTCCGGTTTATTAAACTCAGTTTGAATGTAATTGATTGTTTTGTACATATCATCCTGGACTTCTTCTGGAATAAGACACAATGCCAGCGCTTGTGAAGGGGTCAGCCAACATGAGCTGAATTCATTTACAGATATCCGACTAAAAGGCACAGTACTAAAACTGCCTGTTTAATTCTTATGAATAAAGTGAGGTTGGAAAATTGTTATGTAAAATTTTATGATGACTGTTTTGGTGCATAAATCCACACATACTTACACAAATACACTCACATGCAAAAGTTTGGGCACCCCTAGTTAAATTACCTGTGTTTTTGGTGAAAATAAGGCTACACATCCTGTACTGAGACACACATCTGCACGTTTTCATGCACAATTACTGTTTATTTGCAGAATTTTACATAGTAAAAAAAAACATGAAATGTGGCGTGTGAAAAAGTTGAGGCACATCTTGTATTGTATGTTTTATTTTTTTCCAATATGTTAGACATTGCAAATAAATAGAAATTGTGCACTAAAATTAGCAAAAAATGGCCATATTTTAATTTGCTTCCTGTAGACGATGTATTACAAAACATGTAATTTGACTGGGGTTCTTCAAACTTTTGAACTTCACAGAGATAAGCACTCAGGTAACTCACCGTACTGCGTTGTCCATGCGAGACACGGTGAGGTAGGCTGCCAGGTTTGCCGTGTAAGACGAGCACACAATGAGTGTGAAGAGCCACCAGCTGCCCATGGCTATCCGCAGAGCCACTGAGCTCATAATGGACTCGCCACCTGTAAGGTGAGAAGAACATATATATATGGTTTCTCACCATCATTCTTTCTTTGAGCTGCTCAGTTTTTGCACATTAGAGTCTTCCTCTGAAGCAGGGGTCTTCATTTTCAGCCCTGGAGGACTGGAGTCCAGCACGGTTTAGAGATTTTCATATTCAAACACACCACATTCATCTCATCAGTTAATTACCAGGTTTGGAGATCAGCAAACTTTGCTAGACTCCAACCCTTCAGGACAAACTGATGACCCTCACTTTACAGTCTTGGTCTTCCATACTTTCTCCTGAACCAATAAGTTTCCACACTGTGTATTTTTTCTCTGTGATTTGCCCAGTGTTTATTTCTTTCTGATGTACTGTCTGTCTATTTGTTTTTGCCTCTTGGCCTGTTTGTTCAGCGACTGACTGGACTGTCTAGCCCTGCAATAAGTTTCCACTTCTTCCTCATCCTTCTTGTCCATGGCTTCCAAACAATGAGCATTGTAACAGCAGACCTTTGAGAACTTCATAAGTTCATGAAGAAATGATAATACAGAATATGGACTTAACTAGAATTGAATGCAATCTGTGTTGTACAGTAGTCTGTGGTGCAACTTTGTGTTTCTCAGCCTCATCAGTTTGACCGAGATCATGATTTTATACTATTTTCATGTTTTTGTTTTGTTTACCCACCATGCATCATGCAAATACATCATAAGCTCCGATCACATTACAAGCCTCATTTCTCAAATCCGATTTTTTGCTCAAATCTGATCTCTCTGGCACGATGGTTCACACTCGTTTAGGTAAGCGATTCAAATCTGTCATTAATGTGACGAACCGGCGTCCTGAAATGACCCTCATGAGCTCATCCTACTCAGTAACGTCACGTGAATGAATCACGTTCATCATCAGCACAAACTAACGAGCAGAACGAGCTTCGCTGAGAAGATCATTAACTCTGATCAGCTCTCAGCTTCATTATTAGAGCGAGACGAAGGAGAAAAAGGTGAGATGAGCTGCTTTTCCACCGTTTATAGGCTTTAGCTTCTGTTCGGCGCTGCTGCCATGGTAACGCTAAATGATGGCGAACGCGAAGTGGAAAAAAGCACATGAATTCCGATCTGAGCATCACATTAAGGTCACATGGCCACGAATCAGACACATATCTGATCTATGACCACATATGAAAGTGGCTCAGGTCGGATTTGAAAAGATCAGATTTGTGTCCACACAGCTCTGAAAACATCAGATCTGAGTCACATTAGGGTAAAAAAAATCAGATTTGTGCCACTTCAGCCTGGTAATGTGAACGTAGCCATATAGTCACTAGAAATCCCTGTGGTGCCAACCAATCCTGACGGCTAGCCCAGCCAATGATCTATCAGCTAATAAATACCACCAAACTAGCATTGACGCAGCTCTCTCCTTGGTTGCCATTAAAAAAAAAAACAAAACAACAATGCTATCTTTACTTGGCACGTCATGGACGCCAGAGAGATGTTTTTACCCTTTCAGCCAGAAAAAAAAGCAAACTGAGGTAAGGAACCTAAATAGGCAGCTACTTTGCTAACTGTAGCTTTTAGCCTGTTGTCCTTCTCATCTGAGTAGAAGATAATAAGTCATTTTTGTCCTTTGAGATATACTTTCTCTTCACTGTAGTGATGTTTTGACAGATTCTACAGTTATACTGCTCTAATATGATATTCAGCTTTCTAGCATTACTGTTAGCTACAGTCATATGCATAATAATAATAATAATAATAATAATAATAATAATAATTTCTACTTATACAGCACTTTTTGTGCCGGTGGCAGCTCAAAGTGCTTTACAGACAGGTGATAAAACATAGTTATACAAAAAATCCTGGGTATTTATTTAGAATCATAAGAAAATAACACAGATCAAAGTAGAAGATAAAAACCATGAGACGTAGAGTTTTAATTAAATGCTAATTTAAAGAGATCCGTTTTTAGATGCTTCTTAAAAGTGAGCTCTGAGCTTGACCGTCTAATAAAAGCTGAACTGAGCTCCACAGTTTAGAAGCAGAATAACTGAAAGAGTCTCTCCATGTTTTCTGTATTTAACAGAGGGTATCTGTAGAAGGTCAGTATCTGCAGATCTTAGATTACGTGCCGGAACATAAACAGACAGACGCTCTTTGATGTAAGAACACATATTTTAAAGTGATATCCTTCATAGTGTAGAGCTCTATTTACTTGCTGAGTTTAACATATTGGAAAACAAACAAAACACAAACAGCATAGTGTGCCTTAACTTTTGCATGCACCACATTTTAGGTTTTATTTTTTAAAATCCAGCAAATAAACAGAGATTCTACATTAAAATGCACAGAACAGTGTTCTTTGCCATGGCTATATTAACTTACTTTCACTTAAAAAATCAACAAAGCATTAAATTTGAGTGAGGCGGCCAAACTTTTGCATATGACTGTATGTTTTGAACATATTTACAGAGCAGGTGTTAAGAAAACTCATTAGCTGTGATCAAACACCTTCTGTCTGTTTATGAAAGACACTTAAAACAAGTCTGTTTTGGTTTTTGAGCAGTGAGATAACAGTAGTCTAATTGTGCTTAATATAATTAACAGTAATTATTTTACAAATCTACAGCACATCAGACCACATTAAAAGGGTCAATTAACATTTTAAAAAGCATACGATGTGCTACATCACACAAACTCCCACAGCTTGAAAAAAAGCTTGGAAAAGCGTGAAAAAGTGTCTTTTATACATCGTCTTACCTTGTTGAACAAAAGCGCCATAGACAATCCAGATGGCACTTTGGAAAGAGGTGGTAACAGATGCAGGCTGGTGAGGCCCAGGGGTGTTCTGAGAACGGACGGACTGGATACGCCGTAGGAGGAAGATCATGACTCCAACCACAGGGATGGCAGCGGCGATACACGCCCATACTGCCAGATCGAAGGGCGCTAGCAGTGAGAAGATGTTGAGTTTCTCTACAGACTTGCTCATCAGGATGCCCACGGAGTAATCCAGATAGCGTTTGCTGAAGTCCACCACGTTCTCACGTTCTGGCGTGATGGTGATAGCTGAAATAGCCAGATCTGCCCTCTGGATGGAAATACCAAGACAATATAGACATTAAATAAATATTTTAGCATTTTCTCTGTGTGTAACTCTGTTACGTCTACAATGTACCATCAATTACAATAATGTAAGCATGTTCTTCACTACATGAAGTGTCATTGTTGCCAAACACCACTCTAATGAAGGTACTTGAGTGCTAAATGTGAATGAGTGAGTTAGTGAGTGAGTGACTGACGGACAAGCCAGGTTATATATATATCATAGAAACCAATGAGCCATTGCTGAAGTTGCTGTGCAAATGGGACTATATAATTCAAATTAAAAGCTCTATTACCAGTATTTGGCTTAAGACACAGGGTGGGTAGAGAAGGTTTTTTTCAAAGCTGATCTTATGAAGTTATATTTAGCTTTCAATCAGTAAAGTGTTTAAAAGCTCAGTAGTTCCATATACTTTCAGTTTCAGAAGGCTTTGCTGGTACCTATTCATCATCGACGAGGAATCAATGAAAATTCATGCTACACCACTGTAATGGTCACATAAGCTATTGCCACATACAAGAGTCTCTCTAGAGATTAAGTTGCATTTGTGAAAAAAAACTAATTACACAGCTTTTTTTACTGTTATGAATTATTTGAAAAACTGCTCAGTGCAAAAGTCAGAGACCACCCTTTGCCTTTGTTACAGATTACAATGTTTTCAGGAGTATTGTCTTCAGTTTTTCAAAAGAAACACCTCTAAAGTTCAGTCTTGGCATTGAATTGTCTTCTTAAAATGGAAGGATGGACAGAAAAAATCCTTTGGATTCCTTTGGATTTTTTCAGACCTGAAGAGATTATCTTACTGTTTATCTTATGCTGACAGTTTTGTTGGTCTACTTGGTCTTGTACAGTTGTTTGGAGTCACATTTTCTCAAGTAGATTTAATATTATACTTAACGGTGATGGCTTTTGGGAAATTATCTGTTTTTTTTTACCTACCCTTTTCCTGACACTGAAAAATTAATGACTTTGTGAATGACATAATGGCTGTTTTGACTGGAAGTTAAACAGATGAAAGAGTGATCTCTGACTTCTGCGGTTTTGCTGTGTTCTGCCACCAACACCCATTAAAATGTACAAGCACATACAGGGGACATTTTATTACAAATGCAGAAAACATTGTCTTTTTTTACAATATTATCCATATCATAACCGATCAAACAGGGTAACTAAAGATATGTTATAAAGTTATGATGACACAATAAAGACTTGATGATCCACTGACTACATCAATTTCAACCAATAGTATAATATATTTCCCATTAGCTACTATGGGACTTGCAATGTTATGTTAGTGCCAAGCTAACTGTGGCAACATAGTTATTGTTTACTAGGCTTACTGTTGAAGTCTGAAGCTTATAAGAGGCATTCAAATAACATATTTCTCCCTTTTTAGATGTGTTTTACAGCATGTCTTTGCACACTGTGGACCAGTTTGTTTTTATTGGCACACAATAGCTTCCGTTCTAAGAGAATTTCCAGCAGGGAAGGGGATTGTTGGGTAGAGATTCAGCACAAACAATATCTGCTTTGCGAGAATTTGGCTGACGGTCAGAGCTATTTGATGAAACCTGGTCTATGGTAGAACTTGATTGATCATATGCTTTGTATGTAACAGAGAGAGATAAAAACCACTGTGGCACTCTTGTAAAACAATATCATAAGGCTTTATAAGTGATCAATTCAAAAGTGTTGCACTAGTTATCAACAATGTAAACTTGCCTTTTTGATGAGTTCTCCAATCATGCCATTCCACGAGCCATTAGATTGAGGAGATCCATACTTTCCATCAGCTACCTGGTAGATCTCGTATTTGAAGCCCAGTATTTTGGCCAGGGCATCCAGGACATCGATGGAGAAGCCTTTGTATCGTTTAGGCTGCCCAAGAATGTTTTCTGCCACCATCACGAAAGGCTCCTCCTGGAACACACAAAACAAAGCAGCAACTTTCATTTAATTAAAAAAACTTGGCAGCTCACTTATTGTTATTATTCTTTTCTCAGAAAGTTTACATTTCAGGGTTTTCTTGGCTTGCTGCTGAAGCAAAGAAATATGACCTAAGCGCCAATCCAATAACATTACCGCAGCTGAAAACCAGCCATCGTGTGCATATGCACATCAAACAACTCCTAACAGATTAGTTTACAACTTATAAAGCTAATATTTGGACATGTACACATTAATACTGACTTGTAAGAAGTCTTTTCATTTGTGGTTCCTTAGAGACATTTATATATGCCACAGCATATTAACTGGAAAGTCAGGACTTTGACTAGGCCACTCCAAAACCCTTATTTAGTTTCATCTGAGCCATTCAAAGGTGGACTTGCTCTTTTGCTTCAGATTGTTGTCTTGCTGTGTAACCCAGTTGCACCTAAACTACAGATTTTGGACTGATGACCAGACGTTCTCCTGCAGAATTTTCTAGCAGAGAGTGGACATCATGGCTTCGACAATTATGGCAAGTCACCTAGGCCCTGAAGCAGCGAAGTACTGCCGCACCATTGCACTACCACCGCCATGTTTGACTGTTGGTGTGGTATTAGCCTTTACGCCAGATGTAACAGAACTCCCGTTTTCCAAAAAGTTCTTTCAACTTGTCAGTCCACAGCACATTATTCCAAAAGGCTTGGGGGTCATTAGGGTGTTCATTTATCACACATCTTGCACATCTGGACACTCCACACCTAAACACTTTAGACACTCTATCAGTACCAATATCTGCACATATTCAGTATTGTCATTATATTCTGTTACTTATGCCTCATTGTACATTCATTATTGCACTGCCTTTTTATCTCAGGATAGATCTTATTGCATATTTTTGTATATTTCTATTTGTATATATGCCTGTAGATATGTTTTTCTGTATATATCCTTCTTTTAATTTTATATTGTATCACCCTTATTATTATAACTGTGGTGTGTTGTATGACTGATACTGGCTGCTAAATTTCCTTCGAGATCAATAAAGTATCTATCCATCCATCCATTCATCCATCCATCCATCCATCTATCGGTAAATGTGAGGACAGCGTTTAGATTTCTCTTTGTTAGCAGTAGTTTTTGCCTTGCAACTCTCGCAAGGATTCTGTTCTTGCTCAGTTTCTTTCCCATGATGGAATCAGGGATGCTGACCTAACTGGAGGCAAGCAAGGCCTGCAGTTCCTTAGGAGTTTATCTGGGTTCCTTTATGACTTCCTGCCTTAGAAATGGTTTGGTAACCCTTTCGAGACTGATATTTCAAAAACGGTTTCTCATTTCTTCCAGGATTTCTTTTGATCGTGGCAGAGTGTTGCCTTTTCACCTACTTCACATTTCTGTACGGGTTCTATTTAGGTGATGTCTAGATTTGACCACGCTGGCAGTAATCAACCCCGGCTGTGTCTAGTTTAATTGATCCGATTATCAACTAAATTTGGTTCACTGGCTGATTGAGTGGCTAAGGACGGCACAACTTTATCACACAGGGCCAGTTGGTATTGGATAACTTTTCCTTCAATATATGAAATCATTTAAAAACTGTATCTTGTGTTTACTCTAGTTATATTAAAGTTGGTTTGAAGATATGAAACAATTAAGTGTGACATACAATAATGAAAGAAACCCGAAGGGGCGCAAATATTGTGTATTTGAACAAGTGATTGAGTTTTCATTTAGAGTGAGTCATGCTCAGTCTCCCTTAAAGCTTCAGTCAATGTGACACCTTTATCACAGTCAGGCTTGGCAGCTTCTTTTCCAGGTTAATCTGAATGTAGTTTTCCAGAGAGACTGCTGACCCATGACACAGCAAGCAGCGAAGCGTGTGGCACCTCATCAGACAGAAATTACCTCTCCAAATTCACTGAGGCAAACTGCAGCATGGCATCCTGGGGTCAGAAAAGATGGACCATCACTGGGACAACCCCATCTCAAACAGCCCAGTTAAATATCAGTTGCTTAGGTAACCTGAAGTGGAGAGGGTCATTCTATCCAATTGTGGTTACATAAACGGAAACAAGCAACACAACTCGCTGCTGATAAACACCTAGAAGGAAGTTCTGGGAACAGGACTGACAAAGAAACTCTTCCGGAAGAGGAGTCATGCATGACTGTGTGCAAACAGCGAGGCATCAGAATTATGACAATTATGACAAGTACTGAGACACATAAGAGTCTGTTTCTGTGTTTCTTTTTCAGTGCACAGTTGAACAGCTTAGTGGATCATATATATATATATATATATATATATATATATATATATATATATATATATGTATATAGCTCCAAAAATCATCATTCATAGTATTTCTTTTGGGCAGTAGCTGCTCCAAACCCTAATCCCTACATTGCAACTATAAAAAAATAATACTTCTTTTTTTTTGCATTTTTTAAGAAAATTGAGATCTTTTTAGTTTCTTTTAATGTGATTATGAAAGATTTAGCTTTATGATGAGTTTAATTTTTAAATGAAAAAAAAGGCTCTCACATTTTCCTGTCATCACCGAAACACGAAGAGTTTGAGTTCATAGGCGGAGCCTTATTTTAGCCACACCCCTGCATTTTAGAGCAGGAAGTAAGGCTGCATCCCTGTTCCTCATGGCCACATGATGAGCAGTTAGATCAGTGTTTTACTTTGAGAATTGTCAATACCGAAACGCATATTTTCTGAATTTTTTTGTGTTTTAATGAAAAATATGGTTTTATGTTGCACTACTGTTCAAAGCTGTGATCACTAGTTATGCACTGGCTAGTGATTTTGAATTTGACTCAAAATTATCTAAAATTGTCACCACTGAAACATTTGGTAAAGTTCCATTTATTATTGTTATTGCTTAATTATAATGATTATTATTGTTATTGCTTTATTGTAATTATTATTATTATTATTAACAATTAGGTCTGGGGTCACTCAAAACAAAAGAATTCCACATCAGTTAAAAGCCTTAAATGTGTTTTGAACTCTCATTTCGAACCAGTTTGTTAGGATAATATCTATATAACACAACAATGTCCAAAAATCTAAGGCAGCCAATAAAATTGTTTTATACCATTTATCTTAGCAATAAAAAATTAGGGCACCCTGATCAAGTTTCCTCACATTGATTTTCTAGGTAAAAATAAACACATTCTCTACAGAAGACACACTTCTGCACATTCCAGTGTACAATTACTCTTTATCTGCTGAATTTAACATGTTGGAAAAAATAAAATACAAAATGTGTTCTGTTCAAAATTTAAGGCACTTTTTGTGCTTTATGTTTTATTTTTTACAATATGTTAAATTCAGAAAATAAACAGAAATTGTGTACTGCAATTACCAGGAAAATTTAAAGTTTCTTGTCGATGATGTGTTATTTATTTTCACTTAGAAAATCAACTAAACATGTTATTTGACCAGAAGTGTTCAAACCTTTGAATGTGACTGTATGCAATGAGACAGTCTTACAAAAATGTTTTATTGCAATCACTAAATTTTACTCAGTGTAATCTAAATAAAAGTAGCTATAAGTATCTGTAGTCTGGTCATTTTGTTGTCTTAGAATAGAACAACGCAAGTGATGTGTTGGTTTTCGTAATTGCTGGATGATGGTAGATGAAATAGCAAGCCCACCTAATTGCTGTGGTTAATAATGTAATTGTATTACATTAAACGTTCACCTACATAAGATACTTTGCACTTGCAATCGAAAGGTCCACTATCTAGGGTAGGATAGTAGGCCACCTATGCCTATCATAACTACTGATGCACTTTCTGTGGCATAACTACCAGCTGTGCAGGTAGGAGGTCTGTAGTGACAAGCCCCTAATGTCTTTACTGGACCACTTACATCACTATTTAGGCTATAGGATTCTATTTAAACCTGTAGGATTCATGGGTAACCGAACAATACTGTATATTGCAATCTGTCATTTCAGTAATATAAACAAGCAAATTACATTGTCATTTTTATGGTTAAATCAACTGTGCACTTCTCAAAATCATAGTTAATCTGTTGCATTTAATAGAGTACCCACCAATAATGTGACAACTTTCACAGTCACTCCTTGCATGCCGCTCTCCACACGGCTCTCCTTTAGACTGCCATTCATTCCACGAATAGAGTCCCAAGTTGCCAACTGATGGAAAGAAAGAGAGAAAAATGTCAGTTGCAATTAATAATTCTAAGCACCACAGTCAAAATGACCAATTATCAATCAGCTAAATTGAGTTTCATTCATAAAAGGAATCACTTATGTTCTTGCTTTTCGATGTGACACATGAAACAGGATCACACCAACATAACATGGTTGCCTAGGCAACGTCTGCGTGCTTGATGAGCGCTAATACACACATATTTAATCCCCATCAAACATGAATGAAAAGCCCACCACTTACCGTACTTGCTCTTTCTTCATACATTTTAATTGGTAGTTATTTTCAACTTCAGATCCTTGGCAATAAAATTGTAAAATGCATTTCCAGCCTTGAAACTGAGCTGTGATGTTTGTCACATCCTGCTGTTCTGGAGTTTAATATGCTTTGAGGTATTCAAGTAGGCTTGAAGGTATAATTAGGCATCATTTAATATGAAAATCTTGCTAATGCACAATTAATTTTTGTCCATCATGAGGTGAAAGTGAGTTCGTGGGCCTGCATGCCTTACAGGCTGCATCCCTTTTTTAATGCAGCAATTTAAGCCTGTCATCATCCAACCTATCTCTAGTATTCCAGACTCCTCAAATTCACTGCAAGGTCACTGCATTATGCAATTTAGTACTGCCCTTGATGGAACCATTCTGCACACGTAGCTTATTATAGCGAGAAAAACATTCCATTTTGCAGTGTTACAGCCCAAAGAATGGACTTAAAAACCATCAGTATTACACCACTGCACAAACAAAGCAGAGGCATAGCCGCAGGTGGGACAGGCCTGCCCAGATTGATCACAGGCCTACCCAATCAAAAGAAGACAACAATGCTTACCAAGCCGAATGTTTTAGGATAATGAATTTTGATTTGTCTCCTGTGAGCACAGTCACTGTATTACCACAAATCAAATAATCCTGCCTTCTCTTCCTCAGCATTTCAGTCACTGCTTAGCAACCATTAATAGCCACCATGGTCAGTTCGTTACAGCATGCGGCTGTTTGAATTAGAAGCTTTAGTTGAACAAGATGTAACTGAGGATGTTTAAAAGTGAGATTCTGTCCCACAGAGTTTGTTGTTTTCTACCCATTCAAAGCAAATTTAAAAAACATCATCTTTGCCAGTTTTCTGTGATTTTGGCACTTACAGTGCTTTTCTACTAAAAAAGTTGACATGAGCTTTATAACAATGTCAAAGAAAACATCGGGCCCACTTTATATTGTGTCTCTAATAACTGTGTAGTTATATGTGAACAACATATGCAACAACACTGTAACTACTAATGATTTAGTCACTGTTACAGATGGATTACAGAAGTATGCCTTATCTAATTACACATGTGTATCTTAATAGTTGTAACCGCCTATTCTCTCTCATGTAATTACACAAGGGTAATAACATTAATGTAATTACATTGAAAATCACTGGAACAGCAGTTTTTTCAAAAGTTTTTTTTTTCCCCCAGCAGTAAAGGAAGTATGTAACTTACATTAAGACATTACTCACACTGTATCTGCCAGCTTTCCTAACATTTAGCTAACATGTTGCTGTGATGCTGTAACCAGTTTCAACTTTAAATCATTCTGTAATGTGACAGAACAGCAGATGCTCCCTTATCTTAACATGTAACTTTATGACATTAATTAAATGTCTTACATTGTCCCCCAAAGCAATTACCACTCCATTATTACACAGTACCTACATAACAACTACACAGGAACTGTCCACTTATTTTAAAGTGTAACTTTACATTAAAGGAGAGTTCCTCTGTAGAAGATACACTTGTGTAATTACATGAGGCAAAACTGAAGTTGATACACATGTGTAATTACATAGGCTGTACTTCTGTAATCCATCTGTAACATTGACTAAATCATCATTAGTTACAGTGTTGTTGCTACACAGTTATTAGAGACACTTAATATAAAGTGGGACCCAAACATCTAACCCAGGGCTGCACAACTCCAGTCCTGGAGGGCTGGTGTCCAGCACAGTTTTTAGGTTTCCCTACTCAAACATACCCATTAAGCCTGCCAACAGATGAGTGTAATCAGGTGTGATTGAGCAGGTAAATCACCAAACTGTGCCAGACACTGGCCCTCCAGGACCAGAGTTGTGCACCCCTGATCTAACATCACTTTAATGCATCGAGTCATCAGAGGCAAGACACATCTCAGCTGTCTGATTAACTGATTAACTCAGTTATGTTGTCTTCATTGGACAAATGTGCTTGTGGTGTGAGGACACATGCTTTATAGTGAAGGTGCTGCAGTGTTGGTTGTGTTAATGTGAATCCAACTTTCTGGTTGATTGCTGTTTTTTTGTATCACCATAGTTACCAGATTACAGAGATGACTGCATTGCTGTCAGGAACAGGCTACAGACTGATGTAGGAACATTTCCATGTGAATTAGGGCTGCATGATAAATCATGTTTTTTATTGTTATCGCGACATGTGCTCTGACACCTCAGGCACCAGAATTTAACTTCTGCACCATTTAAGGTGGAATAGGAAATTTAGCTATCTAGCTACCAATACATCAGCACATCACTTGTGATTTTTATGCTCATTATGAAGAAAAGGACCATCATAGATTGAAATGACATTAAACTAAGATAATGATTATCATTATTTTTAACAGAGGAAACACTCACATCCTAGGTGTGAACACGCAAAATGGAGGGGTAAGAGCTAAGTGGTAAGGGAAAGGGGTGAAATAGGATTGAACCCAAGTTTCTCTTTGAGTTGAGAATTGGGGGTCTCGACTTCCAGTCACCAACTTCTGAGTTGGACCTCTGACATCTCTCTGATTGGTTCCACGTTATACCTTGTCAAATACTTTCTCAATAGAAGATGCTTTATTATTTAAAACATTGTGAATTTTTTCTTGTCACAGGAGATCTAATAGCTAAGAAACGTACTCCACCTTAAAATCTGCTGGACTGGTGCCCCATCTTTTATTATTATTATTATTATTATTATTATTATTGTTGGTGTTGTTGTTGTTGTTGTTAGCAATTTCTAATACCTTAATTATTAATAATAATTAGCCCACGACTCCGACATATGCCCAAATAGGAAACTCCAGATATAAGTTGTTTTTCTCCATTAAATAAAAGAAATGGAATTTCTAAAAATCACTCCATCACACTGTGGTAATATTTCAAATATGAATATCGTTCTGAGGCCATGCATGATACTTTTCATTGTTGTCTATGGAGCAATGCACTGCGACTGAAATGAACTATAGAATCTGCAGCACGTTAAAATAAAAAAAATAATAATAATAATAAAAACAACTTTTCTGCTCAGCGCCCACAAAAAAGCACCATACATCATCCACAGCTTTTCCTACTTGTCAATCATATGCATTAACCCCTTAAAATGCCTGACAGGCCCAAATTTTATTATATACTTCTATAACCTAAGAGTAGCTCAGCCAGTTTGCATTAAAGTCCCTGTAGTTACTGAATAATAAGCCTTAGTATGTAATAAGCCTGGAATTTTAAGCGGTTATCCCACCTCTTAAGAAACACGTCCTGCTTCTTTTTAAAAACGAATGCAGCATTTGAAAAATCAGCATCTGAACGCCCTTGAAAATTGCTATGCATTAAATCGTCACCATTAAGTGAATGTAAGGCTGCTACTATAAACATACACTGTCAAAGCCACTCATCTACCACACTTAATGGAGTTTGCTGCTTTGCTGGTGGAGTTGGTGATTATGGGGAGCTTGGCTTGCCGGTTTTATGATGTCAGTTCACTGCACAAGAATGTTAGCTTGTAATTGAAATGCTGGACAGTGCTATTCAGGAGAAAAGGATGGAGGAAATAGTTTTACAACCGTTTGGCAGACTGCTAACAGGCTTTGGAACTCCACAGATAAAGAAAACAGCACTCATTTTTTTCCAGGAACGGCTTATCCAGACACTTAGAGGTACAAAATAGATGCACTAGGGGTGTAACAAAGCACAAAAATCATAATTTGGTTGGACAACATATAACAATTTCTCAGTCTGATTCAGCAAAAATAATTGAGAAAAAAAAATTGTGTCTTACTTAAATACTCTTAAGCAAACTAAATGGTAACAGTAATATTGTATGAAGCTCCACAATTTCTATAGCGCTCTACACCGATCAGGCATAACATTATGACCACCTCCTTGTTTCTACACTCATTGTCCATTTTATCAGCTCCACTTACTATATAGGTGCACTTTGTAGTTCTACAGTTACAGACTGTAGTCCATCTGTTTCTCTGATACTTTGTTAGCCCCCTTTTACCCTGTTCTTCAGTGGTCAGGACCCCCATGGACCCTCACAGAGCAGGTACTATTTGGGTGGTGGATCATTCTCAGCACTGCAGTAACACTGACGTGGTGGTAAAAGGGGGCTAACAAAGTATCAGAGAAACAGATGGACTACAGTCTGTAACTGTAGAACTACAAAGTGCACCTATATAGTAAGTGGAGCTGATAAAATGGACAATGAGTGTAGAAACAAGGAGGTGGTCATAATGTAATGCCTGATTGGTGTATAATACTTAATACTGTGTCCTGTAATAAACCATAGATTCTTATGTAAATCATGTAGAATTTTGTGTAGCATTAGTATAGCTCTGGTCTGCTAATGTTTAAATGTTAATGTTTCCATTTTCAGTTTATTAGTGCGTTCAACAATAAAGAAGTACAATATTTGAGACATTTGAGTGTTATGTAATGAACGGATTAGTCAACATAAATTAGCTTAAGTCCTTTTCACATAAAACCTTTTCAAAAGGGAGAAAGAAGGAAAAAGGAGAGATGAGAAAGAGGAAACAAAGAATGCCGCAGGATGAAAAGAGAAAAAAAAAAACAAGGCGTGGGTTAAGGTTGGAAAATAGAGGCAGCTGGTTCTGTTTCAGGATTGCTCTGTTATGAAATTCTGCAGGCTGCTCTTTTGAATGGAATGAGGCTTTGGAGAGGTTTGTTGTTGAGGGAGGAAAATGTG